ATGTTCAAGAGGTAGCATATGATCAAGAGCCAATGATACTGAAGGAAGAAGTCCAAGGTGCATTGAAGGAATTGGCAAAGAACAAGGCACTAGGAATTGTTGGAATAAAAATTGAACTCTTTCAAGGAAGTGAGGCAGCACAAGAGGCACTCACTCGTCTCTGCCAAGAAATTTGGACGACAGCTATCTGGCTGACTGACTGGAAGAGATCCATATTTGTGCCCATTCCAAAGAGAGGTGACCCAACAGAATGCAGAAGTCATCGAACAATCTCTTTGATATTCCTATGCGAGTAAAGTTTTGCTAAAGGTAATACAGAAACGGCTACCATCGTACATTGACAGAGAACGTCCAGCGGTTCAAGCTGGATTCAGAAGAGGCCTGGTGGTGCTGTAGGATAAATACTGCACTGCTAACTGCAAGGTCAGTAGTTCAAACTCAACAGTCACTTAAAGGAGAAAGAGTAGGCTTTCTACTTCTATAAAGATTTACAGCCTCAGAAACCTTATACAGGTTTCCTGAGTTGGAATCGACTAGGTAGCAGAGTTTTGAGTTTGATGTACATTCCTTGGTTCATGTGTTACTTGCCTGATTTGTCAGGATTCCTTAGCCTGGTATTCCTTGTCCTCGCCCTAATGCCTTAAGCTTCATCTCCTTTGCATCGATCTCCACTCACCTTTCGTAGTTCTCAGCTAATGGTCCTTCATTAATCTGGTAGTACTTTCCTACTCTGGTGCATTCACTCAGTGTTCCCGCTGCTTAGTTGCTGCTCCCTCTGTTGGTATCTTATTCATCTTTCAGTGTTCAATTCAGATGGTCATTTTACCAGGTAACTTTCTTACCTTGGACTTCAGCCAGAGTCCTTCTTTCTTCTAAACTCCTATGACATTCTATATCTCTGTATATTATGTATCTTACTGGTCTTTGGCTTTTTGAAAAATGTGTGTTTGTTTGCTTTTAAAAGTCCCACTGATACATTTATTTCAGAAGTACAAAAGGATATGTAATCAAAAAGTGCAGGTTAAAAAACAACAACAAAGTACAGGTAGTCCCCAGATTACAAATGAGTTCCATTCCTAAATCTGTCTTTAAGTCAAATCTATATGTAACAGTTCAGTTTATATCTAGCATAAGTTAATGAAATGTTTGTCTTAGCGTATAGTATATAATATGCCTTTCTATGCATAAAACCATTAAAGAAACACTTCCAGACACATTAAACATTTTTAACGTAATAATACTGTTTGCTATAATGAACCATTGGTTGTACCTTGAATTTGTAATATAATAAGCTTTGTAAGCGTTGTTTCAGTAATGAAGGCTTCTACTTAAAGCCAAAAACTCCCAGTCCCTTTCCCAGCCCTCCCTGGATGCTGCCATGGGTTTCCTTAGAGAGGGATTTTGTCATGTGCATGTTTTATGTTCCTGCTCATTTGCAGCTCCCTTGGAGATGTGTGTCTTGTTAATTTCTGTGCACCCCACAGGACTTAGCACATTGGGTACCCAACTGCGCACTCATTCAACATACATTTGACTTCCTACTGTGGAGCAGGCACTATATGATTTTTTGTGGTTATGTGCCGTAGAGTCGCACCCAACTCATAGCAGCCCTGTACAGGGTTTTTGAGGCTATAAATCTTTATGGGAGCAGAAAGCCTCCTCTTTCTCTTGCGGAACAGCTGGCAGTTTATAACTGTTGACCCTGCAGTTAGTAGCCTGATTTGTAACCACTGCGCTACCAGAGCTCCTTAGGCACTATGATGGATGTTGGGAAAACAAACAGTTTAGTGTGAAAGAGAGACATTAGTCAAAGAGTTACACCAAAAGTGTATAATTGCAAACCGAGTTAAATAATCTGAAGGAAAGGAGTACAATTCCCAGAGAATGTTACACAAAGGAAGCTAATGTAGAATGAGGGTCCAGAGAAGGCTGCTCTGAGGAAATGACACTGACACGGTGAGTTGTATCTTGTCTAGCAATTGACTAAGAGAAGGAAGGGAAAAAAGAGTATTCCAAGCAGAGAAAATCACATGTGCAAAGATCTGTAGCAAAAGGGAGCATGGCACAAACAAAAGTTGAGAGCCATCCATTGAGTTAAGAAACAAAGTGATTTGAGGTGTGGTTGGAGTCTGTGGCGCAGGTCCTTGAGGCCATTTTAACCTTGTTAACATAAGTGAACTTCTGGTGTGGCACTGTAGGATCTGCACTGGCCTGCTAACCACACGTCAGCAGTTCAAACTCACCAGCTGCTCCTAGGAAACCCTATACAGGGTTGCTATGAGTCAGAACCGACTCGATGGCACTTTACAACAACAACCTAAGACTGAAAAGACCTTTAGTGGTGCTGTGGTGAAAGTGATCAACTGCAAGCCAAAAGGTTGGCAGATTGAACCCTCCTCTAGCTACTCCACAGGGGAGAGATGTGACAGTGTACTTCCGTGAAGATTTACAGCCTTGGAAGCCTTAGGGGGCAACTCCCCTCTGCCCTCCAGGGTCACTAGAAGCCACTGCTCCTTGGCAGTGGTAGCTTTCCTAAATCCAAAGGAAAGCCACACAGGATTTTAGTGAGGTTGGAAACGATTACAGTTGCTTCTCAAAAGATCTATTGCATTGCCTGTAAGTCACTGATTGGAGGGGAGCCTGTGGGCTGGCCTAGTCAATCACTACTGTAGCGGCTTCTACTCGCTGCTGCACCTAGATAATAAAAGCAGAAGACAGAAGCTCCTCGGACTCACCGCTACTCTTCACTGCTCCTGGGCCCACAATGGTGCTTCCTCTTGGGAAGGAAGGGTCCTGCTCCTATCCAAGGCCAGCTCCCACTTGGGTTTTAATTTAACTGTCAGGGATATAAAACCTATATTCACCTTTTTGTACTTCAGGCCTCTTTCCTGAATTATTCCCATTACAAATAACTCTCTGGCCTCTCCTGCTCTGAAGAAACCCTCCTTTGGCCTCTGGTTGTTTGCCCCATTTCTCTTATTCTTAAAAGCAAATGCTCTCAAAGGGGTGTCTATCCTTGTGTCCTCATTTCCTCCTCCCATTCACTCTTGAACCCATTCCAATCTAGGTCAAACCGCCCATGCTACTTCTCTGAAATTGTTTCATAAGTGAATCCACGTTGCTATATTCAACTAACTCTTTGTTGTCCTGGTTTTAATTATCCTCTCAGAATCTTTCATGGCCGACTGCTTGTCTTCAAAGTCTTCTGTGTTGCGTGGTAGCTCTTGTCCTGATGTTCCTCCAACCTCAATGGCGACACTCTTTTTCCTATTTGTTCTCCTTTTTGATTTCTCAACCTTTCCCCAACTTCTAAATGATGGTCTTGGACCCTCTGGCCAGTTTATATTTGAATCTAACCAATTCCCTATAAATTTCAGATTTCTATAAACGGCACTCTTCCTGATATTTCACAAATGTCCCAAAGCATTAGTTGTCTAATACCAAAGCCTGTTTCTTGCTCAATCTCTCAATTACTCCATTTCAAAATCTTAAGCCCAGATTTCTTACAATAAAGCCTACAATTTCCTCAATAAAGCCTGTGCAGTCCATCCACGGCCTCCCAATAATCCTTTTTCTTCTATTCACCCCTTGTTCAGAAATCTCAGGAGCCCCATTTTTTTCTCATACAGCCTAGCTTATTCTTACCACTGGGCTTTTGCCTGCCTGCTCTTTCTACATGGACTATTCTCCTGACCATTCCTTTACATCTTTCAAGTCCCAGCTCATCATTATCTTCTCAATGGATCCTTTCATTGTCCTCCTGTTTAAGGAGTGAGTGCCTGCTATGCTTCTCTATTATTATAGAGAGGAAAGCCATAGATTGATGGATTAAGAAGATAGAAGGCCCATGGATTAGGACTCCAGAGAAGGCAAAGAATAATTGTAGAAGAAGTAACAGATTAAGAAAGCTAGAGGGGAGATTGGGATGCAACAATTAATAATTCATGTATTAGTATTCAGGAATTTTTTTCTGAATTTTTTTGTGCTGTCCAATAAAATTCAGTTCTAGGTGTTTTACACAGAAGTGTTATTTTCAGGAAACTCCACTAGCTTAAGGTCATTTGTGTAGTATTTTATAATGTTTATGTTAAAATTTATTTTCATGCAGATACAGGATATTAGTTTGTACTAAATGTTATCATAAAACATATATCTCTTGTTTATTTTTCAATATTTTTCTCTGTTTCCTTAGCATTTTTTTTTTACCTTTTTATTGTGTATTGGATGAAGGTTTATAGAACAATCATTTTTCCATTCCATAATTCATACATATTTTATTTCATTTCATTGACTTTGAACCCTACAATGAAACCTCATATCCCACCTCCTCCCTGTGTTTCCTGTTTCCATTCCTTTTCCTTTCCTAAGCATTCCGAATTTTGTCCTTGGGTAAATGCTGCCCTTTTCTTCTTAAATGGTTGACTTTCCTCAGGTGTGTGTAACCTTCCCAGTGTATTGTTTTCCTATAGTCATGCCTATTGTTTATCTGAAAACTGAACCATGGGGATCCTCCTAGGAATTTTTATAAACATATAAAGACAACTGTGAATATAAAGCAAACAAACCTTTCTCCTTAATTCTTTTTTCATTAAAAATACAAGTTTCTAAAGAAAGATACATTTCGTTCTTCAGGAGTCACTAATCCTGCCTCTTTCTTGATAGGATTCCATGTTAACAGGTTTTGATGATTATTTAGCCAGATAAAGTAAATAAAAGATCCAGGAAAATATCTAAGGTAAAATTTAGTGAATACAGAATGATAAGAAAAGTATCTTAGCCTATGTATTTATTTTCTTGGGATTTAACAAAATATTTCATTCACACTTATAGTTGCTTGTATTTCCTTTTGGCAAATATATTTTCTCACCCATACTAAGTTGCTAAAATGAAGAAATACATGATATGCAACAGACGCCATTTCTAAAATGTTAACACCTGTTCCTCACTTGTCAACTATCTCATTATCCAACATCTTCCATTTATGACAATAGAAAAAAATCTACTGTCTGACTATTAAGCACATTAACAATGTAATTCTGCAGTAAAGAATGCTGAGGTCTGAAGGAAGAATAAGTCAGTGGTTTGGCGGTTGTGTAATGATGTAGTTTAGTAGTTATATAATAATATAATTTGGCAATTGTGTAGTGATGTAGTCATCCTCTATTTTCATAGAACTCTGATTTTTGCATAACGACCTGATCTTGGGAACCTATCCATGTCCATAGTGAGGAATGGGTACAGTCATAATTTAAAATATAAGCAAGTCTGACTTTAGAGAAGAAAACACATTGGACCGGAAATCATGTTGTATATAAGCCAATGACAACTATCTGAAATAAAAAAAATGTTCAGATCTTTTTGGTTTTTTAACAGGAGACTTAATGGAGCATTTAGTTCCCCATCCTGAATTCAAGATGCTGGGTGTACGTAACATTCCGCAAATGGCTGAGAACTCACTGCCTTACAGCACTTTTACTTGGGCTGGCCTCCTCAAGCATTTGAGACAGATGCTCATTTCTAATGCAAAAATGGAAGAAGGTAAAGGGTGTTTTAAAATATACACCCACAAGCTGGGGAAAATGCCTGTCGTGGAGTTTTCAATATAAACTGGCTTAGGCTGGTTAGAACAGTGGTCCTTTCTTCTGGTCAGGTAGGCTCTTGCAGTAACTTACCAGCGTCTTCCAGGAGGTCTTCTTAAATCACAGATTCATTTCCAAGAAACATTTCAGATGAGTGCCACGTGTTTTGTTGCTATTATTCTTGTTTATTTTAATCAAAGTAATTAATGAATAAACATAGTGTGTAAAATCAAGTAGTCAAAACTTACACATTGCACTGTATATAGACTATATCTTAATTTCTTTTCAGTCAAATAATCGTACAGTATGAACTTATAACAGGGAAACAGATAGTCCAGTGTTCTACATTTCCCTATTCCCCAGCTAAAGCAGCGTTTCACATTTTTAGCTGTTTCTTCTGGAATTTGCCTTATGCTGTTATTTTATTTTTCAGTTTTAGATATTATCCATTACTTTACTAACATGAAAAATGAGGATTGAATCTTTTTACAGCCATTCTACCCACAGAACTATATATAGTCATCCACTTCCATTCTCCCAATATCATTTATATTTTTTGAATAGAGCAATTCTCAGTGTGTTTATTACTTTGACTATGTAAATATTATTCACAGTTGAACCATGTTTTGTGTACAGTGATTGTATTTCATTTCATGTATAATTAATTTTTCTTCGTAGACATACTAATTATATTTATTTGACCAATATAATGTTGTTGTTAAGGGCTGTCAAGTTGGTTCCAGCTCTTAGCCACCCTGTATAGGGTTTCAGAAAAGCAGCTGGTGGATTTGAACTGCCGACCTTGTGGTTCCCAGCCCAGTGCTGACCCTAAACATACTGTGTACCTATTTCTAATGTATTCCTGAACTTTGCTGTAAAAATGAATCCTTTCTCAAAATGTTCAAAAACCTCGCATCACCCACTTAGGGAAATCCCTCCGGGCCTGAGAAATAACCAACTCTAGCATCTGTCTTTGTCTCATCCTGTAGTGTATACCCCATCCCCTGGATTTCAGGTTTTGTCCTTTTTTGATGTGTTTACTCATTTTGATAGACTATAACTGTCAGCAGCTACCTCAGAAAGGAAAATTGAAGTTTTTTTTTTGTTTTTTGTTTTTCCAGTTTTCATTGTGGTAAAAAATATCGACTGAGGATATACAACTAATTGATAATTGAGCCAGATACTCTGAGGTCACATTATATCTATCTTACTGCTCTCCAACTTTTATACATCACATTTGGGACCTTTCTAATTCCCTATGTTTAGATAGGCCTCATTCTTTTTAAGAGCTATGTAGTGTTCTACAAAGTATGTATACTGTCATTTGTTACGTGCTCATAGATCAGAGTCAAGTAATTCTACATGGCTGGTTGTGGGAAAGATCAGTCTTTCATGTTCTTGTTTTCTCCTTCCCAGGGGCAACCATTTAAAAAAGAAAAGAAAGCTCTTGCCGATTATTTTGCTGTTTTCTTCCATTCGTTGCCCTTTCTTGATTTTTCAGTTATTTAGGTGTTGAGGGGGCCACCTGCCATCCTGGAGCTGCTTACAAATAATACTCTTATTTTACAAACCAATCTGTTATTTAGCTATAATTTCTCAAGGGACAATTTCAGTTTAAAAGATTTAAAGCATATCTCAGGGTGATAGTCTTGGGGAATCCTCTTGTCTCCACCAGTCTGGACTTTTTAAGAATTTGAGTTCGATTCCACATTTTTCTCCTATTTGTATGGATCCTTCTAAGGACCGTAATTAGAACAGTTGCTGTTGGAAGCCAGGTACCATCGAGTTCTGGTCTCACAGTAGATGAATCCGTGGTTTGTGTGGACTGTTTACCCTGTAGGTTACGATCTTTCCAAAGGCCATGATTTCGTTCTTTCTCTTTTGTTCCAGACAAGTAGAGATCCAATAGTTGTATCTTAGATTGTTGGTCACAAGCTTTTAAGACCCTAGATCCTACTTACCCAGGGATAAACTTTGTGAACTATGTTATACCAGTGAACTGAGTTGTCCGTTATCCTGAGTCCTTAAGACTTGAAAACCAATCTTGCAAGGTGTTTGGTTAAGTCTAAGACATATTTATACTTGTGTCCTCTGTATGGTTTTTATTACATATATGGAAATACATACATGCATGCATGTACCTGTATGTACGTAGTGGCGCTAGATACTTCTGTCTGTGAATACATATGTACCCACATATTCATGTTCATGTCTTCATATGCCTATATACATATTTGTATGACTACATATTTTGTTGGTTATTGTTGTTGCCAAATTATATATGTCATATTTTTTACCACAAACACCCTTTTCTCATATTCACTTCTTTGTCATTAAGTGCCATTGAGTTAGTTCCGACTCATAGTGATCCTGCCTAATGTTTCCAAGGAGCACCTGGTGGGTTTGAACCACCAACCTTGTGATTCAAAATGACCTTGTAGTCCAGTGCATTATCCTGTAGTCCCACACCAGTATTCCATACACTTCTTAATGACATCATTTACCTTAGTCCAGTGGGTGCCTTTCGCCCATATTCAACGCTGTCTTTCCTATCACCAAAACTATCAAGTGTCTACTACCTTCGGGGTGTGTCCTCTTCCCCTCTCATCCCTGGTAAGCACCATGGGTGTTGGTCTCTGTGTATATATACAGTAAAACCTGAGAAAGCTGGAACGCTTGTTAGATGGAAGCCTGTCAGAGAAGGAAGGCTAAAATATTTTCTGTTAGAAGGAGCAATAGAAAAGTCCTAAGATTGTGTCCTGTCAAAGGTGGAAACACAGGAGTGTTTCAAGCCCCAGAAAAACAAGGTAGTCCGGTTGAGTTCTAGGTCTTACAGGTCCCACTGTAGCTATTCTTTTATAAAAGTGCAATCGTTCAATATTTTCCTTTTGTGATAGATTTGTTTCATTCAGCATCATGTCCTCCAGACTCATTCACAGTACACGATGATTTGAGGACTCATCATCATTTGCCACTGTTTGTATGCACTCCATTTTGTTGATCCATTCAGTCAGTGATGGGTACTTCGGTTGTGTCCATGCTTTTGAGAATAGGGCTGCAGTGAAGATAGGTGTGCTTGTCTAATCAGGTCATGGCACTAGCCCTCTAGGCTGTATACCTAGACATGAGATTCCTGGACATACAGCATTTCTTTTTCTTGCTTTGTGAGGAGGTGCCATTCCCTTTTCCATAGTGATTCTCCCTTTTCACAATTCCACCAGCAGTGGATAAGGGCTCCAGTCTCTCTGCCACATTGGCAGCATGTGTTGTCTTGTTGTAATCAGTGCCCTTTTAGCAGGGTGAGACAGTATCTCATTGTAGTTTTTTGTTGTTGTTTTTTTTAAGGTTTTTATTGTGGATTGAGTGAAAGTTTACAGGGCACATCATCAGTTTCACATTCAGCCATTCATATAACTTGTTTCATTACATTGATTACAATCCCCTCCATACATCACCATTCAACAGTGTTTCTCTCTATCCTCTTTGGCTTTTCTCCTTTCTTGGGGGGGTGGGGTGGGGGGGAACTTTGCCTTTTTGGAATTTACAGTCTCGGCTTTTAGGGAAGGTTTTTACATTTATCTGTGGATATCCAGGGCTCATGTATGCGATTACTAACAAGCATAACTGAATAATCAGATGAGGGACAGTTTGCTATGTCTGCTAGGTGGCTAAAGTCTGATCCTCAGAGCCTATGGTTTGGACGGTCTGCAATGCTTGGGCCCACAGGGCCTTGAACTCCTGGCCGGGTCTGCACGGTCTACATCCGTTCTCATTGTAGTTTTGATTGGCATCTCTCCAATGGCTAATGATCACAGGTGTCTTTTTATGTGCTTGTTGGCTGCTTTAATGTCATCTTTGGTGAAGTGTCTGTTCATGTCCTTTGCCAATTTTTAAATAGGATTATGTGTATTTTCTTGTTAAAAGTTTTATATATTTATAGAGGTCATTCCCCAAAACTTTTTCCTAGTCTGTAGGTAAAATGAGAGAGCCTTTTAAGATATCCATATGACTAGTGAATATTTTTGCCCCATTTTTGTTTGTGTTTCTATAACCCTTACTATTTTTTGTTTTGTTTACTAATATATAGAAAGTCAAACTCATCCCTTTTAGTATATATGTCTATGTATTTTGACTATATAATAAGCACTGGACTGTGAACCACAAAATCCACAGTTCGAGCCTACCAGCCTCTCTTCAGGAGAAAGATAAGACTTTCTGTTTCTGCAAAGATTTAAAAGCCTCGGAAACCCTATACATGGTCACTATGAGTTAGCACCAACTCAATGGTACTTAACAACAAAACAACAACAAATATAGTATGTATTTATCACCACAGTTAAGACAGAATATTCCCATCATCCCCAAAAGTGTCCTTGTAATCCTGTAAAGCCAATCCCTTCCCGCCACTTCCAGTCCCTGGCAACCACTGATCTGGTTTTTATCCCCATAGTTTTTAGTTTCTACCTTTTCCAGAATGTCATATAAGCAGAATCATTCAGTATATATAGTCTTTTAGTCGTGGCTTGTTTCATGCAGTATTCAGCTTTTGAGATTCAGCTTTGTCTATCAATAAAAATGTATGTAAAATGCACATAAATGGTATTTTTCTCCTCTTGTTCAAAGTCAATTACAAAGTTTTTCCCTTGTTTTGTTTTACGGGTAGGTATCGATTGGCAGGTACGGCCTCCTTTAGCAAGACTTCCTGCACTTGGCAAAATGCCTTTCAACAAGGAACTTCATTTTGACACTTCCATTGCTAACCTGGTCATTCTTCGTGGGAAAGACGTGCATTGTGCAGATCTGGGTAAGCGGATGTTACAATGGAAATTAAGATGTGCATTTGACATAGATAATGATAATAAATGACCCCTGGATTGATTCTTAAGGAAAGAATATGTGCATTTTAGTGGCAAAATGGAGTAAAGTCATTGTTTCAGGTGTTGTGTGACTGAAAATCAAAATAGAAATAATTTAAACAAGATAAAAGTCCAGTTGTGTCTTCTGAACATCTGGTTGCTCTGTGGCTTTGTCCAAGACACTAGCTTGGGTTCCTACCATCAAGTCCACACAGGAACAAGCAAAAGAGAATGCGGTTCTTCCTCCTATCACCAACCCACAACACACATGCATTTCTATGCTATTGACAAAGACTGAGTCATATGTCATGCTTGACAGCCAGGGAGTCCATGAATTCAGTTAAAAAATTGGGAAATTGTTTAGGAAAGGTCCTGGTGTGACACTGTAGGATAAGCACTGGATTGCCAACTGCAAGGTCGACCCTTCAAACCCCCTAGCCACTCCGCGATAACCTTATACAAAGTTGTTATGACTCGAAATGACTCAACGGCACTTAACAATAACAATCACTAAAGAAGAAAAAAGGAGCGCAGTGGCTCCATACAACAAGCACTGGACTGTGAACCACCAGGTCCATGGTTTGAGCCCACCAGCTACTCCGTGGAAGAAAAATGAAGCTTTCTGCTCCCACAAAGATTTAGAACCTCAGAAACCCTGTACAGGGTCGCTATGAGTTGGAACCAACTCAATGGCACTCAACAACAACAGCAAGGAAGAAAAGGAGAATAGGTATTGCAGGAAAATTAGTGTTCTCTGTGACGAGCGTTTTCTTATAAAACCCATTAGAAGTTGAAAAATTACTCTGTGTGTGCCAAAGGACTTTTATCAAACAAAGTGAAGAGACAACCTTAAGATTGGGAGAAAATTTTGGGGACCTCTATATTGGAGTGCTGGTGTGGCACTGTAAGCACTGGACCACAAGGTCAATTTGAAATACAAGGTCGGCGGTTCAAACTCACCAGCTGCTCCATGGAAACCCTATACAGGGTCACTGGGTCGGAAACAAACAGGAGCTCTGGTAGCGTAGTGGTTACAAGTCAGGTTGCTAACTTCAAGGTTAGCAGTTCAAAGCTACCAGCCATTCTGCAGAAGAAAGATGAAGCTTTCTGCTCCCGTAACGATTTACAGCCTCAGAAACCCTATGCCGGGTCACTGTGAGTCAGAACCAACTGTATGGCACTCCACCACCACCACCATGGTACTCTAGGATCACCACTGGATTGTGAATCAAAAGATCAACAGTTCAAAACCACCAGCTGCTCCTTGGAAACCCTATACAAGGCTGCTATGAATTGGAACTGACTAGACGGCACTTATCAGTAACAGCAACTTATATTAATAGACATTTCACCAAAGATGATAAACAAATGCCCATGAAAAGATATTCAACCTCATTAGCCATTAAAACCACAACAATAGAATCACAAATTCACTGTCTTCAAGTCGATTAGACATACAGGGTACAGAATTTCAGAGGCTATAAATCTTTATGAGAGAATCCACATTCCAACATCGTTCTTTAAAGAGGTAGAAAAAATTATCAATGACTTTATGTCAAAAGGAGAGACCTCAGATACGCAAAGCAGTGCTTAAGAAGAACAACAAGGTTGGAGGCTTCTTACTCTCTGATCTCAAAATGTACACAGCCACAGTGGTCAAAACAAAACAGCCTGGTATTGGTATAACAAAAGATACAAAGGTCAATGGAACAGAATTGAGAACCCAGAAGTAAATCCATCCTCAACAGTCAGCTGATCTTGACAAAGGGCCAAAACACATTTAGTGGAGAAGAGATAGTCTTTTCAACAAATGGTGCTGATAGAACTGAAAATAGAAGAATGAAACAAGACTCATATCTCACACCATATAGAAAAACAAACAACATGGAGTAAAGACTAAAAAATGTAAAACTCAGACCTATACGATCATCAGTGACAAAATAGGGACAAACTTAGGGGCATAAATACACTGTCAAACATTACTAAAACCACACAAAGCGCAGAAGACAGAATAGATGACTGGGACCTCCTAAAAATTAAACACTTAATGTGCATCTAGAGATTTAGTCAAGAGTAAAAAGAGAGCCAATAGGGAAAAAAAATGTTTTGCAGATGACATATCAGGCAAGGGACTAATCTCTAAAATTTATGAAAAACTATACCACCTCTATAAGAAAACGACAAACAACCCAATTAAAAAATGGGCTGAGGACCTGAACAAACACTTCATCAAAGAAGACATTCAGGCAGCAAACAAACATATGAAGAAATGCTCAGGATCATTAGCCATTATAGTTCTTGTTAAGTGCCATCAAATCATTTGGATTTATAGTGGCTCTGTATAGGGTTTCTGAGGAGCAATTGGTAGGTTTGAACCACTGACCCTGTAGTTCAAACTAACCTTGTGATCCAGTGCATTATCCTGCAGCGCCACACCACTAGCCATTGTAGTTGTTGTGTGCCATGGAGTTGGTTCCGACTCATAGCGACCCGGTACAGGGTTTCCGAAGCTGTAAATCTTTATGGGAGCAGAAAGCCTTATCTTTCTCCCATGAAACAGCTGGTAGTTTTGAATACTAGTCATTAGAGAGATGCAAATCAAAACAACAATGAAATACCATCTTACACCAGCATTAATAGAAAAGTTCAAAAAAACAGAAAATAACAAATGCTGGAGAAGGTGTGGAGAGACTGAGACTTTTCAGTGCTGGTGGGACTGTAAAATGGTTCAAACGCTCTGGAAAACAGTGTGATGCTTCCTCATAAAGTTGGAAATAAAAATAATTTATGACCCAGCATTCCCTCTACCTGGTATATTTATTGTTGTTGTTAAGTGCCATGGAGTCAGTTCTGACTCATAGAGACCCTGTATAGCGTTTCCAAGGAGTGGCTGGTGAATTTGAACCACTACCTTGCAGTTCAAACTGGCCTTGCAGCCCAGCACATTAACCCACAGCACCACACCAGGACTCCACTTGGTATAGATCTATAAGAAATAAGAGCCAAGTAGATAGACAGACACACACCCATGTTTATTGCAGTACTATTCGTAATAGCAAAAAGATGGAGACAGCCTAAATATCCATCAGTGAGAGTGTGGATAAACAAACTTTGGTACATACACACAATGGAATACTACTATGCGACGTTCAAGAGTAAAGATGAATCTTTGAAACCCCTCATAACATGGATGAACCTGGAGGACATTTTGCCGAGAGAAATAAGTCACATAAGGACAAATATAGTATGAAACCACTATTGTAAAAATTCAAGAAAAGGTTTTCATGTTAAAAGAAACATTCTTTGATGGTTATCAGGTGTAGGAGAGAAGGGAGAGTAATCAGTTCACTGGCTAGAGGACTGTTGTTGTTAAGTGCCATAGAGTCAGTTCTGACCCATAGCAACACTGTACGGTTTCCAAGGAGTGGCTGGTGAGTTGAACTGCCGACCTTTCAGTTTAAACTGACCTTGCAGTCTAGTGCTTATCCTACAGTGCCACACCAGGACTCCATGTTAACTTGGGTAATGGGAGGACAGTATACAAGAGGGAGGGTGGCAGAAGAATGATGAAGATAGGTGAAAACACAGGGAGGTATGCTAGGGCTAAAGGGCCCAGAGATAAATAGTGACATATACACAACCTTGGAACACTAGTGTTCTGTGTGTAGATACATGGACAGAGACACAGGCTGAAACAGGTAGGGGAGGCAGAGTGGGATATTTATATGTATTTATGTATCCAACAAATATATGGAAGGAATTATAATCATTGAGATGAAACAAAGTGTATAATTTGTTGAATGTAAAACTGATAATCTTGTCTGTAAACCTTCACTCAATTCACAATTAAAAAAGAAAATAAAAAAAACTTTATGGGGTTAGAATGTCTCATCTTTCTCTTGAAAAGCAGCTGGTGCCGATCTTGCAACTGTCAATCTGTGGTTAGCAGTCCCTACAGTACCACCAGGGCTCCTGGCATTGTTGTTGTGAAGTGCCGTCAAGTAAGTTCTGGCTCATCATGACCTTTTATAGGGTTGAGGATATAAGTGTTTGTAGGAACAGAAAGCTTCATCTGTCTCCCTGAGTAACTGTTGGGCTTGAACCATCAACCTTGTGGTTTGCAGTCCAGTGCTTATCCTGCAGAGCCACTGCAATCTAGAATTAACCATTTGTTGCTAAGTGCCATCGAGTCGGTTCTGACTCATAGTGACCATGTAGACGATTTCCTAGGAGCAGTGGGTGGGTGTGAACCGCAAATCAAAATCACAATGAGGCACCACTGCATCTGATGTAGGATGGCTATGGAACTACCCAAGACCAAAAGGCTACCTACTGAAGACTGCTAACTGGGTGAAGATGTGGGGAAACTGGAACCCTCATCCATGCTACTGGGAATACAAAATGGTATTCACTAGAGAAAACAGTTTGTGGTTCCTCATAAAATTAAACTTAGAACTACTGTATGATCCAGGAATTTCACTCCTAGGTACACAGCATAGAGACTGGGATGTTAAACACAGAACTACCGTATGATCCAGGAATTTCACTCCTAGGT